TCTAATGTTACCACTGACACTACGTCTAATGTTACCTCTCACACTACGTCTAATGTTACCACTCACACTACGTCTAATGTTAGCACCGACACTACGTCTTATGTTACCGCTGAGACTACGTCTTATGTGATTACTGATGCTATGTGTAATGTTACCACTGACACTACGTCTAATGTTACCATCGACACAACGTCTTATGTGATTACTGATACTACGTCTTATTCACCACTGACACTACGTCCAATGTTACCACTGACACTAAGTCTAACGTGATTACTGACACTACGTCTAATGTTACCAATGACACTACTTCCGATGTCAGCACTGACAAAACGTCTAACGTTACCTCTCACATTACGTCCAATGTCACCACTCACACTACGTCTAATGTAAGCACTGATACCACGTCTAATGTTACCTATCACACTAAGTCTAATGTTACCTCTCACACTACGTCTTATCTTACCACTCACACTACGTCTAATGTTACCTCTCACACCACGTCTAATGTTACCACTCACACTACGTCTAATGTTACCGCTGACACCACGTCTAATGTTACCTATCACACTACGTCTAATGTTACCTCTCACACAACATCTAATGTTATCACTCACACCACGTCTTATGTTACCACTCACACCACGTCTAATGTTACCACTCACACCACGTCTTATGTTACCACTCACACTACGTCTAATGTTACCACTGACACAACGTCTAATGTTACCTATCACACTACGTCTAATGTTACCACTCACACAACGTCTAATGTTACCACTCACACCACGCCTACCGTGATTACTGACACTACGTCTAATGTTACCAATGACACTACGGCTTATGTTAGCCCTGACAAAACGTCTAACGTTACCTCTCACATTACGTCTAATGTCACCACTCACACTACGTCTAATGTTACCAACCACACCACGTCTAATGTTACCTCTCACACTACGTCTAATGTTACAACTCACACAACGTCTAATGTTACCACTGACACTACGTCTAATATGATTACTGACACTACGTCTAATGTCACCACTCACACAACGTCTAATGTGAATACTGACCCTACGTCTTATGTTACCACTGAGACTACGTCTAATGTGATTACTGACGCTATGTGTAATGTTACCACTGACACTACGTCTAATGTTACCATCGACACTAAGTCTAACGTGATTACTGACACTACGTCTAATGTTAGCACTGAAAAAACGTCTAACGTTACCTCTCACATTACGTCTAATGTCACCACCCTCACTACGTCTAATGTAAGCACTGATACCACGTCTAATGTTACCTCTCACACTACGTCTAATGTCACCACCCTCACTACGTCTAATGTAAGCACTGATACCACGTCTAATGTTACCACTCACACAACGTATAATGTTACCTATCACACTACGTCTGTTACCACTCACTAGTCTAATGTTACCACTGACACCACGTCTAATGTTACCACTGACACCACGTCTAATGTTACCTCTCACACTACGTCTAATGTTACTACTCACACTACGTCTAATGTTACCACTGACACCACGTCTAATGTTACATATCACACTACGTCTAATCTTACCACTCACACCACGTCTAATGTTACCTATCACACTACGTCTAATGTAAGCACTGATACCACGTCTAATGTTACTACTCACACTACGTCTAATGTTACCACTCACACTACGTCTAATGTTACCTCTCACACTATGTCTAATGTTACCACTCGCACTACGTCTAATGTTACCACTGACACCACGTCTAATGTTACATATCACACTACGTCTAATGTGACCATTCACCCAACGTCTAATGTTACCACTCACACTACGTCTAATATGACCATTCACCCAACGTCTAATGTTACCTCTCACACTACGTCTAATGTTACAACTCACACAACGTCTAATGTTACCACTGACACTACGTCTAATATGATTACTGACACTACGTCTAATGTCACCACTCACACAACGTCTAATGTGAATACTGACCCTACGTCTTATGTTACCACTGAGACTACGTCTAATGTGATTACTGACGCTATGTGTAATGTTACCACTGACACTACGTCTAATGTTACCATCGACACTAAGTCTAACGTGATTACTGACACTGCGTCTAATGTTAGCACTGAAAAAACGTCTAACGTTACCTCTCACATTACGTCTAATGTCACCACCCTCACTACGTCTAATGTAAGCACTGATACCACGTCTAATGTTACCTCTCACACTACGTCTAATGTCACCACCCTCACTACGTCTAATGTAAGCACTGATACCACGTCTAATGTTACCACTCACACAACGTATAATGTTACCTATCACACTACGTCTGTTACCACTCACTAGTGTAATGTTACCACTGACACCACGTCTAATGTTACCACTGACACCACGTCTAATGTTACCTCTCACACTACGTCTAATGTTACTACTCACACTACGTCTAATGTTACCACTGACACCACGTCTAATGTTACATATCACACTACGTCTAATCTTACCACTCACACCACGTCTAATGTTACCTATCACACTACGTCTAATGTAAGCACTGATACCACGTCTAATGTTACTACTCACACTACGTCTAATGTTACCACTCACACTACGTCTAATGTTACCTCTCACACTATGTCTAATGTTACCACTCGCACTACGTCTAATGTTACCACTGACACCACGTCTAATGTTACATATCACACTACGTCTAATGTGACCATTCACCCAACGTCTAATGTTACCACTCACACTACGTCTAATATGACCATTCACCCAACGTCTAATGTTACCACTCACACTACGTCTAATGTTACCACTCACACCACGTCTAATGTTACATATCACACTACGTCTAATGTGACCATTCACCCAACGTCTAATGTTACCACTCACACTACGTCTAATGTTACCTCTCACACTACGTCTAATGTTACCTCTCACACCACGTCTAATGTTACATATCACACAACGTCTAATGTTACCACTCACACTACGTCTAATGTTACCTCTCACACCACGTCTAATGTTACCTCTCACACAACGTCTAATGTTACCTCTCACACTACGTCTAATGTTACCTATCACACTACGTCTAATGTTACCTCTCACACTACGACTAATGTTACCTCTCACACTACGTCTAATGTTACCTCTCACACAACGTCTAATGTTACCACTCGCACTACGTCTAATGTTACCACTGACACCACGTCTAATGTTACATATCACACTACGTCTAATGTGACCATTCACCCAACGTCTAATGTTTCCACTCACACAACGTCTAATGTTACCTCTCACACCACGTCTAATGTTACCTCTCACTCAACGTCTAATGTTACCACTCACACTACGTCTAATGTTACCACTCACACTACGTCTAATGTTACCTCTCACACCACGTCTAATGTTACATATCACACCACGTCTAATGTGACCATTCACCCAACGTCTAATGTTACCACTCACACGACGTCTAATGTTACCACTCACACTACGTCTAATTTTACCACTCACACCACGTCTAATGTTACATATCACACTACGTCTAATGTGACCATTCACCCAACGTCTAATGTTACCACTCACACTACGTCTAATGTTACCTCTCACACTACGTCTAATGTTACCTCTCACACCACGTCTAATGTTACATATCACACAACGTCTAATGTTACCACTCACACTACGTCTAATGTTATCACTCACACTACGTCTAATGTTACCTCTCACACCATGTCTAATGTTACCTCTCACACCACGTCTAATGTCACCACTCACACAACGTCTAATGTTACCACTCACACATCGTCTAATGTTACCACTCACACTACGCCTAACGTGATTACTGACACTACGTCTAATGTTACCAATGACACTACGTCTAATGTTAGCACTGACAAAACGTCTAACGTTACCTCTCACATTACGTCTAATGTCACCACTCACACTACGTCTAATGTTACCAACCACACCACGTCTAATGTTACCTATCACACTACGTCTAAAGTTACCACTCACACAACGTCTAATGTTACCTATCAAACTTAGTCTAATGTCACCACTCACACAACGTCTAATGTTACCTCTCACACTACGTCTAATGTTAGCACTGACACCACGTCTAATGTTACATATCACACTACGTCTAATGTTACCACTCACACAACGTCTAATGTTACCTCTCACACTACGTCTAATGTTAGCACTGACACCACGTCTAATGTTACCTATCACACAACGTCTAATGTTACCACTCACACTACGTCTAATGTTACCACTGACAACACGTCTTATGTTACCTATCACACTACGTCTAATGTTATCACTCACACAACGTCTAATGTTACATATCACACTACGTCTAATCTTACCACTGACACCACGTCTAATCTTACCTATCACACAACGTCTAATGTTACCACTCACACAACGTCTAATGTTACCTCTCACATTACGTCTAATGTTAGCACTGACACCACGTCTAATGTAACCTATCACACTACGTCTAATGTTACCACTCACACTGCGTCTAATGTTACCACTGACAACACGTCTAATGTTACCTATCACACTACATCTAATGTTATCACTCTCACCACGTCTAATGTTCGAATCCCGACATGGGTACAATGTGTGAAGCCCATTTCTGGTGTCCCCCGCCGTGATATTGCTGGAATATTGCTAAAAGCGGCGTAAAACCGTACTCACTCACTCCAAGCGGCGTTAAACCCAGCCCACTCACTCACTCAAGTCGCCACATGGATCATATTTCCTAAGCTCATTCCTGGTTTCCCCAGTTTGGCTGAATACTGTGAAACCGGTGTAAATTCACGTTCCCAAATCCAGATGAACCTCGCGAGACAACGTTTCAGCGGTGACGGCGGAACTCAACAGTCATACAGCGTGACCACTGACCCTTTGCACACGAACCTTCCGAACATAAGCATTCGAATGCTATAAAAACAAAGGGTGACTCTAGTAGAGAATTAAGTATCTTTTATTTACATACATTATACATAACTTGCATAGATTTACATTCATACCTTCACATACGACAATGTTAAAGCGGATCGTGTGGTCGTTAAATACCAACGGACACATATAACATTATACCACTGAACAATACTATGTACAAACATGGTAGCGGCAAAAGTTTAACAAAGCCCTGGGTGCAAAGCATTAACAAGACGGCTGAATACGGTAAATGATTGGCTTATATTTATGTATAAATTAGAATCATAGAGCAGTTGTGTACATGCTATAATTGTTTATATTCTGTCTATTTATTGACAAGGCATGTTTATTATGGAATGTATTTGATATGATGTATTATTGCAGTTGCGTGTTGCGACAGCACGTCACTTGTTGGCTGACGTTGAGTGGCGTTAAGTGACGTTCAGTGACGTTTAGTGACAATTGCATGTTCATTAAAGAGATACAGCCTGTTCCTTATCCGAACGTCAGTATCAAATAGAATGTCAAATGAAATAATGATGAGAATATTCGTTCTAAGAACGTCACCGCGGCGGATACAGCGTAATAGTGTAAGCCATTTTACACCCGGAACCCTTTCAATTATAACACAGTGGGTCCAGGGATCCTAAAAATTTATTATAAAATTATTGCTTATTTTAGTGTAAATGAGTTCGATACAGTAAATTCAGTTAATCCTCGTTAACTCGAAGTACTCGTAGTTCGAGACAAACGTTCTACTTGTATTAGACCGTAGTATCGGAAATTTCTACTGGCGGAACCACCAGTTAGAGATTATATCGAATTAAACGAAGTTCGGTTTAACGAGTTTCCTTGTATTATACTGCCTGCATTGCAAGGACACAATTGAATTTTCATCAAAACATGAAATATTCTTGTTTTAGTATAGTTTTCTAATGACCCTATTCAGGATTTGCTATATAAAAATGCAGTCCGCGTCTTATTAGTTTCGCTACCTTTTCCTCTTCCGAATGTAGGGCAAGTAACATGTAGCACTTCCGATAGCCTTTCAACTTGGCTTAATTTCTTCCGTAATATGGGCTTCAGCACTTTGAACAGTTTCTCTCAGTGCAATGCACCACCATCTTTGGTTTTTAAGTCACGCGAGAGTTCCTGTCAAGTCACGTGGGCGTCAGCATTTGTCTCACGCGTATGTATTTTTTCAATGAAATATTTCCTTGGCACAATCCCTTTTCAGAAGCGTAATTGCCCTGAGTTAATACCCGTTTCTCATGTTCCTTCAGCCTCGTTTTCCACGTCTATTTCATCCTCAGATTGCTCATCTTCCTCTTCTGACGTCTGGCCCGCCATTTCACAATCGTCTGCGCCACCCTCAGCTGACGTCACTTCCTTTTCTTTGTCTTCCGCCTCGTGTTTCTCGTTATCTTCACTCGTGGGGGTGTCCTGAAAAATGATTGACAAGTGTCATTTAAACGAACTCGAGAAGTAGATCAAAACAGTTAAAGAATTTGAATCATCAGACCGTTGATTGACACGACCGATAGCTTAAAAGTGCTTATGACTGAAACACATTTATGTACCAGTTACGCTCTGTACATGCTTACTGCATGAGTAAATGCATAATTGTCCTCTCGCAAAAAAAATAATAACATCTTTCTTATTCCCCTGATCATGTCAGTCATCAGAATATATGACCGTATACTTCAGTTCAAGAAATAAGAGGGGCGGCGGGTTAGCCTTGTGGTTAAAGCGTTCGTTCGTCACGCCGAAGAGCTGGGTTCGATCCCCGCATGGGTACAATGTGTGACACCCATTTCTGGCGTCCCCGCCATGATATTGCTGGAATATTGCTAAAAGAGGCGTAAAACCACTCACTCACTCACTCACTCAATAACAAATATATTAAACAAGTTGTTTTACTAAATACCTGTTTTAGGCGTCTCCATTTCGCCCGCCGATTCTGGAACCAGGTTTTCACCTACGAAAAAAATAAACAAATTCAGTTTCAAACACGAGATAAATACGCGTACTGTAGGTTTCCAAATGTCAATATTTAATTTAATATTTCAAGTAACACATAGGCAGCTCTATATTTCATTGGAAATATTCAAGTGCTTTTAAACAATAGAACACATATGGGTATATGTCATGGGATGTACATTAACATTTACTGCCTCCTGTCTTGTTTTAAATGTTTGTCCTGGCATCTTGGATAACTTTATCTGGGAGTAGCATGGTGCAAATGAATCTTTTCTGATGAATCTGATTTTAAAGTTTCTGTGATCTCACCTGATTGTATATCATCATATTCTGACTACGGAAATGCTCATACTATTGATCATTCGTTTGTAAGGTTCAGGTTTGAAATTATTTTGCTGACATCAACGCAAATGTACATGTCACAAGTACGTGTATTTGGTGTTTTGTTTTCCCTTTTTCAACAAACTAATGAATACAATATGGGGTGATTCTAATTGCCCCGCAGACAATGGTTGGAGAAATGAGTGAGTGAGTGAGTTGGGTTTAACGCCGCTTTTAACAGTATTCCAGTTATATCGCGGCATGTCAGCTTAATGTGGGAGGAAAGCCTGAAGTGATGCAGGCCCCAGACGTTTACCACTTCGGTGAAACCCACGAGCACGGGCATGGTGCTGACAAACCTAGAAACATAATCGGGGCGAACCGGAATTCGAACCCACAATCATAGGTTTCTGGCGTGTCCAAGGGACGCAACTCTGCACAGCGAAACGCGGCGCCTTAGACGACTGGGCCACCCGTGCCCCCTTGGAGAAATGAAGACATGGACCTCATTATTTAAAAACTGCGGTTAGTGAGTGAGTTACTGTCGCATTCTTAATTCTAAACTACTGGGCAACAGAACGTATACACTTGAAAATTGGATATGACCAAACAATTACAAACGTTATCAAAGCAGGCTGAAAACAGTCGCCAAAACACTGAACACGTAAGGTCCAAGACACAACTTTGATACCCGTACCACATACATTACCATCAAATAACCATTTCGTGTTTGCTTCATTTTTAGCCACTATCAAACATTGGTGTATACCGGCACTTTATATAGCATTTAAAAAATGGTAAAATCAGCGAGACAGGAAAATATTTTTCGCCCAGATATAACACAGATTACATGTCATAAATAACTAAACTGTTCCAACTAAACACTTTTACACACCTGTCTCTCGGTGAGCTGTAATACTTTAGCAAGTCTCTTCCTCTCCTGTGGAGTTAAGTATTTCTGAGTTTCAAACTTCTTCTCTAGCTCAACGGTCTGTTCGTTTGAAAACCGCACTTGACCGCCTTTTCGTTTATGAATTGGTCTTTGAATGAACGGGTTCCAGAGAAAGGGTGGCTTGGGGCCAACTGAAACAAAACATTATACCTTGAAATCACAGAATATCATGAAAGAAAATGCGTCTAATGTCTTTTATTAATAAATTAGTTTATGAATCTCGATAATACAAATTTGAAAACTTTAATTGAGCATTATTACTTTATAGATCAAAAGATCAAAGAAATTTATTGTATAATTGCAATGCTAAAATATCTTTACTAATTGTTTGCATTTCCTAAATATAACCTATAGGGTTCATATTTTCTGATCCATAATTATTTATAGGGAGAACAATAGTTGGAGGTCAAGTTTTCGTAATTTCCTTTGTTAAAACTAGACCCAGTAACTTTTTCCGAATCAGGCGCCAGCGAGACTCATTATAAAAGAACCAGTCTGACAGAGGGTTCAGGTTTCACCCAACTCGGAAGGGTCCAAGTAAAACGCTTCAAAGGGAACCTCGTTTTCATTTCCAATACTATTTCCCAAACGACAAGACATTATATAAGGAATTGTAATAAGCATTGTTAATGTGCACCAATTACTACAATATGCGTGCGCCAGTCCTTAAGCAACGAGGAAATATTCTGCCCCCAAGTTCAACGATTTCCTACGCTCTAACTTGGTACTTATAGGCTTGTTTTGTCAACGGAAGACTGCTCAGCGAGATAAGAAGTAGAATTTGTCTGAAGCATTTTAGTTCCAAGCTCAGAACGTCCAAATGAATCAGATAAAGAGATTTTTAGATTGGACACATGTTATCCTAACTTACACATTTTGACTTCTGTGTGTTTAACAAAGATACAGATATAATATTGGGATCAAAAGCAGACTGAAGTGAAGTCTTAAGTGCTCGTTTTGTGTCATTGTAGGCAATACTTTCGTTTTGATCTCAGTCGGAATAGCCTTTCATTTTTATCCTGAACGTTTTGTCATTTTGAATGATTTAGGGGAAGGGTGGGGTGGAGTGGGGTAGGTAATTGGTAATTGTTTTGTCTTGCGTCGATGTTGGTCGATAAAGGACAACATGGTGATGCTTGGTTTGTTTTCAGTAACATGGTTTAAATAGCAGATGAAATTTCTATCATAATTGAAATGGAATTCATTGTATATTTGATCACACATGCAAAAAACACGAGAAGAATAAGTGCGTAATTATAATAATATACGTCTGTGTAGAAACAATATAAATGTTGCACGAATACCAACATGGGTGCACGTGCACCTATAATATGTATTTACAGAAGTAATTGTTGATGTACACATTCGTCCTTGTCAATTATGTGTTGTACATCATATTCATCTTGCCCCTTCTATTCAATCCCACGGTACATTCAGACAATCTAAGAGGTTTAATCGATAACATAGGAAGAGACTGAACATACATTATACAACATAAGCAGAATATTTCCTTTATTTTAAAATCATAATCATAATCACAATCACAATCATAATCATCATCATCACCATCAACATTGTAAAACTTAACCACAACCCGAAGAGAAGAGATCAGGGAATGTGTCATAGCAATTGGTAAATTTCTTGTCAGAAATAAGTCAACCGAGATGCAAATACCTTCTACATTTCCTTCTTTGATATCATTAACGTTCACTCTGGTCGCGGGTGAAATAAACACTTTAACTAGAGACCCGTGAGCCCTGATAGTACAGGCCATACGTGACAAAACAAACACATTTCACACTAAAATTAGCACCAAGTGTCAATCATCTTGACCGTTTCCTCCGAAATATACATTTTCAAATTGTCATCTGTTTTAATGCAGACTATTTCAAGAGTTACTGTAAGGGCACTCTTATATGCGGAAGGCATTCAATGATAATCAGAAATAAACATGAGTGTTTATGTCATGTACATGTACGCGTGTTACTCTTTGTTCCTTCTTATCATTGCATTGCAGTCCATCTTCTAACAGAAATATACAAGCGTCAATTTCACCCACAGAGTAGACACTTCAGATATGTGCTACCATGATTGTTCCCATATATCGCAAAGTACAGACACGATTTAATCATTAAACTCTAATTTGAGAAAATTGAACATAAGTGCTTCTTTAGAAACAGTTGGTGCTACTTAATGTCTGTGGAAGTCACACCCTCCCCATGTGAAACTGGTGTTGGCATATATTGTCATTGTTATCGTTATTATTAATTATGGTTTATTAATAATTCAATATCGTGCAGATGAAATGCTTCAAACTTCAAGTTCCAGTTTGGTTTTACAATATATCTTTTATTATCTATGATCATATAAAATAATGAATAATCTTTTGAGTGCCGTTTTCATATAAATGCTTTCGAGTTTTAACATATTATGTGCATGAAACTGCTTGATTTGATTCTAATTCAAAATTGAAATATTTTGTAAAATGACCTTTCTATGTTAATTTGCTCTTTATCAGGATGTTTGACTTGTAAAAAAATCATATTTGTTGTGTTATTTAAAGTTGTTGTGATATCCCTGTGAACAAGATCACAGTTTGAAATTGTGTATGGCGAACATAATTCAAAAGATATATAACATATATTGTAAAATTTAAATATTATCTACACATTTCATAACGAAAATCAAACATTAACAAAACTATATAGAATTCGAGTGAAGCAAATATTCCAAATGACTTAGTTTCAGGTTAGTTAATAGTTAATATAGAATTTACTTTATACTAATCGAGATCTAACACCATCGTTTTGCATACAATCAGCAGAATGCATACAAGAGCTATTTACCACCTCGGGTTAAAAGTCAGATATTCTGCAAAACATCTCCTGTTGCTAATAAAACTGATCTTAATATATTCCACATAACAGATTTTGCGAAGTAAACGTGATAACCACACAATAAATGTATTTTGTTTGTTGTTCAACTCCGCGCTCAATAATCAATCAGCTATGCTTCATTTAATCATGTTTCTGTTGGATTATGATACCCTCTTAATAGCTAAAAATATGAGTCGGGTTTTACATGTAGTATTAAACTATGATGCACTTTGTCAGTTCCGCACATACAAAAATGGGCACGTGTCTTCCTTATATGGTTTTGGATTCTACCGGGCAACAGTAAATAGGAACTAAAATGAACGCACAAAGCAATGTAAATTTACATTGAAATATCAAATAATGATCAAAATGGACATACTTGATATTAATGGTTGTGACAGCTGATTGTGCAGTTTTCCGACAAAAGAACAAAATCAATTAAAGAGTAATATGATAAGTGTACGCGTGCAGTTCAAAAGTTCGATATCAGATCAAAATCTGAATTCCTTAAGTTTAGTTGTGCGGGCTTACAGGTCTGCAAGAGTTTTCTTCAGACAAAATCAACGTTTGGTGGATGTACAGTTCAAGTCAATCAACAGCAGCTCACATCGTCATGAACAACAGTCCCATCCTAAGTATAAAAATCAACGGCATAAAAACACTTAATATCCTGCCCCATCACCAGTTTTAAGCAGAGAGTTCTTGTAGCTCTGGAAAGGGTCTTGTCGCTTTTATTTAGATTATTGTACATCCGTGGGATTCTCTTTGGGGATTTCAAGATTTTCACAATTAAGGTTGTATTTTGTCGTTTTGTAAATGATGTTTGGTTTGTTGGTTCATGTATTTATTTTCAAGGGAACATGTCTCAAAACTTAAAGAATACACTGTTTTGAACTGCTCCCTTAGGACAGGAGCAGTTGGCAGACAGCGAAAAAAGGGAAATCATATTATAAATATTAAGTAAGTTTAATGCCAATTATTTGTCGCTTTGAAATACAAATTGATATTGTATCATTAATTTTACGTTTTGTTTTCATATTTACATATGTTTGGGTGAGATTCCTAATTTAGCGCGTGATCAATATGTCAAACACAACACATTGCATATTCAAGCGATCGTACAAAATGTATTTTCATGCACTGAAATACCATCCCTATAATTACTGAAATATTTCCAGGGCGGCGTTGGTAATACCCAAGCACAATGATTATGTCCAAGACATGTGGGAGCCAGTTTCGGATGATATATATTTATATATTTCAAATTATGACATTGATATCTTATGATGAGATAATGGTTGAATGTCAAATCTTTGACATTATGACATAAACTTACTATATTGATAAGATGTGAAAGTAATACCGTTATCATAGCTGAAAGGTAGATAATTACATTTATTATCAAGTGCGCCGTTTATTATAAGCAATGACGATCAACGACATGTGACGGTACATCGATTAACAATCGTAATATTTTCATCAAAATGTCACAACCTTGGTCAACGCCAAGCAGAAACATTGAGGTTACAAATTCATTAAAAAAAACTGAAAAAATCCCTGTAAACATAAAAACGACAATAAACGCAAAAATTAAAAGTTTGACTTTTGACATTTACACTTAAAAATATTTCTTTTGTTAATCTGGACGTAACGTACTCAATCTAAAATGAATTTGAAAATGATCCAATTCTGTCAAACCATAAAGTTTACATGAAATTTCATTACCTTCACACTATTAACAGACATTGGTCGGCTGCGCTAATCTTTGGCTTATCGAGGGCGCCGCCCGACTATCATACCGATAAAAACAATTTGAAAGTTATCCATATAACCCTCCATGTCACCCGCCAAGTGCCATCAATGCAGTCATCTACTGGGACTTGGCGAGATTGTTTGACGGCGTGTCAAACACCCAGGTACCACACGAACCCCTCCCGATGTTTGTCAATAATGAAAGCGTTTCAGACGTTAAATATCTGGAAAAGGATTGTGTAGACATAAATTTGTACACACAATCATTGTATATAATCCCCAATTGTTCAGTGTATTGATCGTTCTTAGGACACAAGTGGTTTGAATAGTTTTTTTCGTAGCTGGGAGTCGAAGTCTGGAATGACAGATTAATATAAATACAAATAGTGTTTCCCTTGAGAACTGTTTGACAGATATAAATCCATGTATCATAATTATTGCAATGTTTGGTTCGTAATGGATTTGAATGAATGGTATGTGACGCTTTAAAGCAACGCAAAGAT